CCTCTAACGCCTAGCGAGCAGACAGATATCATGTTATTCATGACATCCGGAGCCTCTTATGGGCTCAGGAGGACAGTTGTCAGCTCCTTCCGATAGGTCACTAACTCGTGTCAGTCTTCACTCTGCAACCTGCCGCATCCAAAGCAGGTATGAGGCTTCAGGATGAGCATTGGTAGCGGATTGTGCTCGGCAATTGTCATCAGTGATCCATGTATGGGAGTGCCCAAACTCTTTTTGACCTCTGAGAATCGCCCGGTAGTGCCCCGTGTTGGGCGATCGGCCGAAGTGCAGCTGTATCGCAGTGACCTCATAGGCAACTGGACAGACATGGATAGTTGTCTCTGAGACGAAGGCCGGTATATGGACGATGTGATGGCAGTCGTGTAGGGGCCGAACGTTTCGCAGGAGATGTCCCCCCTCACCTGTGAATCTCTGAAGTTGGACACAGAGTATGCTGGGTGGGTGCACGATGGCATGCACATCTGCCTGAAGATGCCACTGATCAATCACTCTTTGGAGGTAAAGAGTGTCCCCTGGATGAGGGAACATGATGAGTGGAGCATGCAGGCGTCCGGTATCTGTGATTCGCAGAGTCCTTTCAGTCTGAATCCGGGCCTCCCATCGCCCCTCAAAACTGCTGACATGGAGCCTGGGCAACAGATGCATCACTAGCTCAGGAGCATCATGCTGCTGATGAACATTTACCCAGCCTTGCAGTAGCAATTGCCAAGGGAGATGTTGTAGCAGTTTCACTGTCAGGTTTTGAGCTGTCCCCTCTCGAGGGCATAGCAATCTTAAGGCCGAGGCAATATGTGTGGTCGGGTGACCGTGCAGCTGAGCCTGAAGGAGGGTCCACGTGGCTGCAAGTGCAGTGGAGTTCAGATAACACAGATTCGTGTCATTGTGTAAGGCAACCTTCAAGAGCATACGGAGACCGGGAATCGCACCTGTGTTCATCCCCAGAGGCTGGCTGCCAGAGCATCGTATTGTGGGCGGTCGCGCCGCAACCTGCAACCTATCGTGTGAAATGCAGCTTGTCCGATCCACGACGTCAGAGAGCTCCAGATTGGTGACCCCTCCGGGCGAAGAGACACGAAGATCTGAAAGGTCACCCACTCCGTCTGTACTCCCTCTGTCAGCCTGCGTATGGATTTGAACCGGATGAGCGAGGTCTCGTTGATGGCCTTGCGGACTTGCACAATCTGGCTTAGGAGATTCTCCGTAGAGGTCGACTGGACCGTAGTGTCGATCTCCAGGTTCTGCTTGGCCCCGTTCCATTTTAGAATCCGCCAGCAGCCCTCCGGGTCGACCCAGTTGAGGGACTTGGCGTGATCCATTGCCTGTTGGTTTTTCGCCGTTTCGGTAATTCGTTCCTGCAAGGTGATCATCAACTGTTTGAACATCGCGAGTTTGAGAGAATATCCCAATTTTTCCGGCGTCTCCTCCTTGATCGCTCTCCACTTTTCGGCCGCCTGGCACAAGATGGGGATCATGCCCTGCTCGCCGCTCCGGACGAACAAGTACAGCATCAGCCTGCCTGAGAGCAGACAGTGTCTGCTCCTGGTGGAGGACCATCTGTGTAAGCCTGTCCACTCTCTCTTCCAACCATTCCTGGTGCCCCCGACGATCTGTTGTCCACGGAGTCGGCATTGCTGATCCCTCGTTGGAACCATTGCTGTATGCCCACATTCCTGCCGAGGGATAGGCGCCCTGCGCCAGGGACGGGCCTGGAGGAGTCCCCCCCCTTCCCCTTGGCTGTGCTCTTGCCTTTGCCGCCTTTTCCCTTGCTTCTCTCCGGACCCTCCACTCTCAGTCTCTTGGCAGCCCCCGAGCTCGGTGGAGGATTGCTGGAGTCCGCTCGATTGGGGTCCCGACGTACTCCTGCAAGTGGCCCCAAGTGCTGGAAGAATAGCTGCTCCTGATCGTCCAGATCCATGTCGTCCCGAAGGTTGGACGTCATGCCTAACCTTGAGAAATGCACAAAGACTCAGCACATGGCACTGTTGCCAATGTCGATCCTTGTTAACCCTAGATTGTTTACAGTATCTACATGGCAACACAGTATGACGTCGGAAGCTTTGCAGAAGATGTTGAATGGGCTTCTGAAGCTGTTTCCACTCTTCATGCTGATTGGTCATGTGACACTTGAGTCCATTCGGCGTGGCAGCCCACTGCATGCACACAGGACAGTGGTGCTGAAGATACTGCTGCACCTCTGAGCATGCCAGGAGCTGTGTCCATGAACCTGCCTGTAATTTCTGCTTGACCATCGGCCAATCCTGGAGGGGGATTGACATCGTGGGCGGGGTCTCTGTACTTTCAGGCGTCAGGTCGCCGGCCTTCTCCATTTTCGTGGGTGCCCTCTCACCCCCCTCGAGAAAGGCTTCGGCATTAGGGCAGGTGTACCTTCTTCGGGCGGACATGCTGTACTCGACTCTGTCTGCCTAGTCACACTCTGCTCTTGTGATGAGCCTGCACTCTGGCCAGCCTCAGCTCCCAGCTTCTCCTGCGTCTTGGTCGTCGGGTGACTGGAGGAATCACCCTCTGCAGTTTTGTTCCTGAGGACCTGGCATCTGTTGCGCTGTATATGTTGTACCAAATTAGCCCATTGTCGAAACCGATGTCCACAATGCCTGCATGTGGGAAGACCGTCCGTACCATGTGCAAATCGGTCAAATTCGGCCTGCTGGGGACTCAGAGTGTTGAGCTGATGCCATTTGGCCTCATGAGATCGAAGGAGTCTAAAGGAGTGAAAAGCTCTACCACACTGGTGGCAGTGATGACCAGGGTCACCTCCGGTGTGCGGGGCGAGCTCATCCGCCACGGTCATGTCAGCCGCCTGGAGGGCAGCAGCCAGAGCTCGCAGTGCCTCCAGATGGGGCGGCGATACAAGCGGCGTCGCCTCAGCATGAGCTCGTAGGCGCCTGAGCAGACCCTCGGTTTCTTTCTGGAGCTGAGCCTGAGCAGATAAGACTCCGCATCTCAAAAGGACTGCGCACGAAGACTCATGTTGCATGTGCGCGTATGACTTGGCCATGGCCCGTACATGTTTGATGATGAGAGACTGCAGGCGGGTACGATCCTTGGGTTCCGGATCAACTGCGGCCAGTCCATACATCAATGTAGGAAGGATCGTGGCCTTCCAGAGGGAGATTCTGTGATCCAGCGCGACTCGTCCACTGGAGCAGAGGACTCCTCGAAGTCGCTGCCAGGCTTGATTGGCCACCTGTAGACGGTGCAAGGTGGTGTGTCTGGCCATGGCATGATATGAGATTCGGACTCCAAGATAAGTGTGTTGATCTCTCATGGGGAATCGAAACTCGCGGCCTTTGGGCGTACGGAGATAAAGAAGATCCCCCTCCGAGCCGCGCTGCTTGTGCCGCCGCAGCCATTTTTTTATGAAGGAGCCGCGATGTCTGAGGAGAACCGCTGATTTAGCTGCATTAATGATCATGTCATTATCCGCTAATGCATCGAGCATCGTGCCAAAGTTGTGTAGGATGCGATCGAGATGGGAGGAGGTGCTCGCCACCTCCATGAGGTGGATGTCGTCTGCATACGTGGTGGTGTTGGTCTGTAGCCAGGCTGTGGTAACCTGATTACTCGGATCGGCAGCCACTGATTTGAAGACATATCCCATTCCCATCGCCCACAAGATCGGGGCTATTTGACAGCCCTGTCGAAGGCCTTGTTGGGCAGTGACTTGGGCCGTCCTGTTCAGATGCTCTATATGATATGTGACCTCATAATACCACGACATGACCTGGTTTCGCAGCTGGGTGTCAACACCAGCATCAAGCAGAGCACGATCGATTAACCTCCAGTTCAGGAGATCGAAGGCATTTGAGAGGTCCAACGACAATTGGACCCCAGCGAAGTGAGGAGCAGATGCCGGACGACACTCCTGCCTATCAGCAACCGTACGAATCACATGCGAGCACTTCATCTGCACGTACTTGCAATGTTGCGATACTCGGTGTATGGCCATTGCGGCCTCTCGGCCCCCGAGATACGCGTACTGCGAGGCCTCCCGAAGATAGGTGGATGCATATTCCCTAAGTTGCTGCTGCAGCAGGCGAGCGTATGCCCGCCCGCTGGGCTCGGTGAGTCCTATAGGACGCAGGTTCCGAGGCGAGACCGGCCTCGGAACCTTTGGCACTAAGACTAACCATGCATCCCGCCAATCGGCCGGGATTCGCCTCCATTTGGATGCCATCTCGCACAGGGTAGGTGCAAGAAGATCGGCAGTGAGCCTCCAGAGAGAGTTGGTGGCCTGGCCCGGAGGGGTGGCCTTGTGCGGCGATAGCTGGGACAAGGCACGTGCCATCTGGCTCGGGTCAATCCGTAGGGTCACTGGGGCTCTGACTTCTCCAGCTACAGCAGGGTCCTTGTCCGCCGCATACAGTCGTCGATAGTGGGTTTCAAGTTGCTTGATTTGATCACCTGCCGACTGCAGCTGGCCTTTGTCATCCCGGAGCTGTACTTTCGTCTTGGCCTGTTTGGGTGCAACAGCGCGGACACCGGCAAACAGCAATCGAGTGTCGCCTCGTCCCGCTGCAGCCTGCAGCTCATCTATTCTGTCATAGAACCATTGCTTCTTACATGCTTTGCCCGCCTGTTTGAAAGCTTTGTGAGCCTGCTTGAAGGCCTGATACGCTCTACCAATCTGCAGAACTTGATCAGGTTGAGTCTGCACAAGATGCTTCCACTGTCTTCGGGCCTGCCACATTCCTTTAATGCCAATGCTCATGCAGGGCTGTTGCCAGGTGGCCAGTCGCTGCTGTCCTCTGACAGGGGGAAACACTTGTGATGCACACTTGATCAAGAGCTGGTTAAGGGAGGCGATGTCAGTGGCCATGTGTAGCTCCTGTGTGATCATGCTTCGGAGAGCCTCCACTCGGCTGTCGGCCGGGTTTTTGCATAGTTGAACCACCTCCCAATGATTCCATGCTCTCTTGGGCTTTGCTGGGTGATTGAGGGAGTGGAAAGGCACAACTGGGAGACTGGCCTGTACTGGGAGGTGTTTCCCTCCAAGTCGCCAGACAGCAAGGGCCAGGTCCACGGGCTTGGCTTGTTTGGCCCTGTTGTCAGTCTGAGACGCTCGCATCAGTATGTGATCTATCAGGCTGGCACCTTTTGCATGAACAAACGTGGGACCAGCAGCCTTACACCACGAGTTGAGGTGTGCAAGGCCGTGCTCTTCGACCAGGTTCTGAAGTCGAGCCTGGTCCGGTGGCATAGTGCTACCGCCTGTTTGGATTCGCGGGCCGGCCTGAGGATATGGTTTTAGTGGGCAGTTGAAGTCGCCCACAATCATCAGAGTGTGCCTTCGTGGAATACGCTGCAGTTGGGCTTCGAGCACAGACCATATCTCCGCCCTGATCTTCTTTGCGTCCTGCGAGGCTTTGGGATGAAAGTTATACGGCTTCTGGTAGACATGCAGGAGGTCGGCTGTCCAGAGAGCTGTGACAATGCGGATGTGCTGGATCCGGCCTGGCTTGGGGTCTGCCGTGATGACTTCACCATTCGGCATCGATTTTCTGTCTAGTAGTACTATCAACCCTGCTGCCTTGTTGTCCGTGCTTGGCGAAGTATACACCGACCACTGGGCCGTGATGAAGGAAGGTGCTACCTTGTCACTCCAGTGTGACTCCTGGATACACACGACTTGGGGTCTGGCCTCAGGGGCAAGTTGCTCCAGGGTCAGGAGCAGTTCCTGCCACAAGTTGGAGGAGAGGCCCCCAGCGTTCCAGGAAAGGACAAGAAGCCTGGTCTGACTTCGCTGTAAAGCATGCAGCTGTGCCTGTCTCTGGGGCTTAGGTCGCGGCTGTCTACCCTGGTAGCCTTTGCAGAGTTGCTGCAGAGTGCAGACACGACCTCTGTACGTGGTGTGCTGATCCGGGTGCTGAGAGGCTCGCCGTACCGCTCGTTTGTAGGCTCGCTTTCTGGCTGAGCTGAGTGACGGAACGGCCTGCAGTGCAGCAGGGGTTGCAACGGGGACAGTGATATCGGGCCTGGGCCCAACCTGATCGGAATGTGGAAGGGCCCCTCCAGCCACTGGAAGAGGGCTGGAGAGAAGAAGGCTCAGCAGGGCATGTATCACTCTATGGCACCCGATACATTGCCCAGGTCTTTGGTGTCTATCCTCAGTCAGTGGATTGTCTGAGGTGGCGACCATCCGATTAGTTCTTGCTGGAAGATGATCAGACTGATACCTGTGTCGAACAGTTCGGGTCATGGTGGGGCAGCTGGAAGTCATCACAAGGGCATCTGGCGGAGTCCCGCGCACCTTCAAGGGAGAAGTAGGCAGTGTAGTGCCGACGACTATTGGGCGGCAACACGAGGCTCGCATCCCATGTGCAACCATGGATCGGGTAAGATGATGGAGTGCTGGAGCCACAGTGCAGATCAGGCGTACTGGCACTCGTGACTTGTAGATAAGACAGTACGTCATTTTGCGTCTGCAGGCAGAGAACATGTACGAGCGCAGGTTAGCAACAGGAATAGAGGTCACAGGTGTGCTGTGTGTGGCTCGTGTGACTGCAGATGTTTGGAGTCCAGTGAGTATCCTAGCATCCTGAGTGAAGAATGTCTCTAGATAAAGGTCATGTGATGACCACCGTCGTAGGGAGCCTGCTGGGGCCGTCCCTACATGCACGAGTTGTGAGTTTTGCTCACGCCACGGCTTC